AAGGTGAGATTCTATCCTGCCCAACAGCCTTAGTCGCGTTCAGATCTAACGGATACCTCCTAACCTCATCTCTGGTAATTTCAAAATCTTCCAAGGCTCTTAGTTCAGGCACTTCGCCTTGCTCTATTGTGAAGACCTCCTGGAATAATATGTCAAGTTCTTCACACACCACCTTTGTGTTTGTGTGCGTGTGTACTCACCAATTTGTGCTTGCAGGATCGAGACCTAGCTCTTGAACCCCGCTTTTCTTGCCGTTGGTTGTCTAATGCAATAACTCCTGACATATATCCCTATTATACCTACTTTTTGAGCTATGAATGGCGTTTGCCTCTACAATGAATGTGTGTCTAATTCGCCTTATTGTGATTGTGGGGGTTGAGCTTAGGTTCTTTGGTCCCATCCCGCCTCTGAGCCGTGGGTGTGTGGAGAGCAGGAAGATAACGATCGCTATTAGATATAGATATAGACTTTCCAGTAATAATGTTTATTTTGCTTATTCTGAATTCCTAGGCTCCTAGAATTCCGCCGAGCCTAGCTGTTAAGTACTTCCCTGAGCCTGTTAACTGTTGTAGTGGTCAGTCAAGTACTTCCCTGAGCCTGTTAACTGTTGTAGTGGTCAGTCAAGTACTTCCCTGAGCCTGTTAACTGTTGTAGTGGTCAGTCAAGTACTTCCCTGAGCCAGTTAACTGTTGTAGTGGTCAGTCAAGTACTTCCCTGGGGCTGTTAACTGTTGTAGTGGTCAGTCAAGTACTTCCCTGAGCCAGTTAACTGTTGTAGTGGTCAGTCAAGTACTTCCCTGAGCCAGTTAACTGTTGCAGTGGTCAGTCAAGTACTTCCCTGAGCCAGTTAACTGTTGTAGTGGTCAGTCAAGTACTTCCCTGGGGCTGTTAACTGTTGCAGTGGTCAGTCAAGTACTTCCCTGAGCCAGTTAACTGTTGTAGTGGTCAGTCAAGTACTTCCCTGGGGCTGTTAACTGTTGTAGTGGTCAGTCAAGTACTTCCCTGAGCCAGTTAACTGTTGTAGTGGTCAGTCAAGTACTTCCCTGGGGCTGTTAACTGTTGTAGTGGTCAGTCAAGTACTTCCCTGAGCCTGTCAACTGTTGTAGTGGTCAGTCAAGTACTTCCCTGAGCCAGTTAACTGTTGTAGTGGTCAGTCAAGTACTTCCCTGAGCCTGTTAACTGTTGTAGTGGTCAGTCAAGTACTTCCCTGAGCCAGTTAACTGTTGTAGTGGTCAGTCAAGTACTTCCCTGAGCCAGTTAACTGTTGCAGTGGTCAGTCAAGTACTTCCCTGAGCCAGTTAACTGTTGTAGTGGTCAGTCAAGTACTTCCCTGAGCCTGTTAACTGTTGTAGTGGTCAGTCAAGTACTTCCCTGAGCCTGTTAACTGTTGTAGTGGTCAGTCAAGTACTTCCCTGAGCCTGTTAACTGTTGCAGTGGTCAGTCAAGTACTTCCCTGAGCCAGTTAACTGTTGTAGTGGTCAGTCAAGTACTTCCCTGGGGCTGTTAACTGTTGCAGTGGTCAGTCAAGTACTTCCCTGAGCCAGTTAACTGTTGCAGTGGTCAGTCAAGTACTTCCCTGAGCCTGTTAACTGTTGTAGTGGTCAGTCAAGTACTTCCCTGGGGCTGTTAACTGTTGTAGTGGTCAGTCAAGTACTTCCCTGAGCCAGTTAACTGTTGTAGTGGTCAGTAAGTCTTGTAGTGGTCAGTCAAGTACTTCCCTGAGCCAGTTAACTGTTGTAGTGGTCAGTCAAGTACTTCCCCAGGGCTGTTAACTGTTGTAAACAGTCAGCCAGGTAACTCTCATGAACCTGCCATTCTGCTACAACAACCAACTAGGTAGTTAGCAGCCTGGAAGCGCCCCCTGTAATTGTTCACCTTGTATCTGGACTTCACAATATACACGATAAAGACCCGTCATTTGTTCTGCGATCGTGGCGCGATTAAGCAATTACGGAGTTGATTGTCAAGATATTTTAGGTGGCCTTGGCAACATTGCTGACGTCTGCCTTGTGGTCAGAATCACTGCTGGGGTTGCTACCCTTGACGTAATAGATCATTCTATACGGCACTCTAGCGTTGATGTGCCTATTACTCACCTTGCTATTACTCCCTCAGCCTGCTATTACTCACCTTGCTATTACTCTCACTGCTTGCTATTACTCCCACAGCTTGCTATTACTCCCACAGCTTGCTATTACTCCCACAGCCTGCTATTACTCCCACAGCTTGCTATTACTCCCTCAGCTTGCTATTACTCACCTTGCTATTACTTTCACTGCTTGCTATTACTCCCACAGCTTGCTATTACTCCCACAGCTTGCTATTACTCCCACAGCATGCTATTACTCCCACAGCTTGCTATTACTCACCTTGCTATTACTCCCACAGCTTGCTATTACTCCCACAGCTTGCTATTACTCACCTTGCTATTACTCCCACAGCTTGCTATTACTCCCACAGCTTGCTATTACTCCTACAGCTTGCTATTACTCTCACAGCTTGCTATTACTCTCACAGCTTGCTATTACTCACCTTGCTATTACTCCCGCAGCTTGCTATTACTCCTACAGCTTGCTATTACTCCTACAGCTTGCTATTACTCCCACAGCTTGCTATTACTCCCACAGCATGCTATTACTCCCACAGCTTGCTATTACTCCCACAGCATGCTATTACTCCCACAGCTTGCTATTACTCTCACAGCTTGCTATTACTCCCACAACGTGCTATTACTCCCACAGCTTGCTATTACTCCCACAGCTTGCTATTACTCCCACAGCATGCTATTACTCCCACAGCATGCTATTACTCCCACAGCATGCTATTACTCCCACAGCTTGCTATTACTCTCACAGCTTGCTATTACTCTCACAGCTTGCTATTACTCTCACAGCTTGCTATTACTCTCACAGCTTGCTATTACTCACCTTGTTATTACTCTCACTGCTTGCTATTACTCCCACAGCTTGCTATTACTCCCACAGCTTGCTATTACTCCCACAGCCTGTTATTACTCCCACAGCTTGCTATTACTCCCTCAGCTTGCTATTACTCACCTTGCTATTACTTTCACTGCTTGCTATTACTCCCACAGCTTGCTATTACTCCCACAGCTTGCTATTACTCCCACAGCATGCTATTACTCCCACAGCTTGTTATTACTCACCTTGCTATTACTCCCACAGCTTGCTATTACTCCCACAGCTTGCTATTACTCACCTTGCTATTACTCCCACAGCTTGCTATTACTCCCACAGCTTGCTATTACTCCTACAGCTTGCTATTACTCTCACAGCTTGCTATTACTCTCACAGCTTGCTATTACTCACTTTGCTATTACTCCCACAGCTTGCTATTACTCCCACAGCTTGCTATTACTCACCTTGCTATTACTCCCACAGCTTGCTATTACTCCCACAGCTTGCTATTACTCCTACAGCTTGCTATTACTCTCACAGCTTGCTATTACTCTCACAGCTTGCTATTACTCACCTTGCTGTTACTCCCGCAGCTTGCTATTACTCCTACAGCTTGCTATTACTCCTACAGCTTGCTATTACTCCCACAGCTTGCTATTACTCCCACAGCATGCTATTACTCCCACAGCATGCTATTACTCCCACAGCTTGCTATTACTCCCACAGCATGCTATTACTCCCACAGCTTGCTATTACTCTCACAGCTTGCTATTACTCCCACAACTTGCTATTACTCCCACAGCTTGCTATTACTCCCACAGCTTGCTATTACTCCCACAGCTTGCTATTACTCCCACAGCATGCTATTACTCCCACAGCATGCTATTACTCCCACATCATGCTATTACTCCCACAGCTTGCTATTACTCTCACAGCTTGCTATTACTCCCACAACATGCTATTACTCCCACAGCATTCTATTAGTCCCACAGCATGCTATTACTCCCACAGCTTGCTATTACTCTCACAGCTTGCTATTACTCTCACAGCTTGCTATTACTCTCACAGCTTGCTATTACTCTCACAGCTTGCTATTACTCACCTTGCCATTACTCTCACAGCATGCTATTACTCTCACAGCTTGCTATTACTCCCACAGCTCGCTAATACTCCCACAGCCACCCCAGAAGTCCGTCTGTACACACTTAAAAAAGGTAAAGTGAAGACATACTGGGGGTTATCTTGAGGGTTATCTTAGGAATGCACAGACGTAATTACTCTGTAAACTCTGCACACACACAACCAACTACGTGACCACTGAACAGTTAAATAACAGGTACAACAAGGCTTTCACAGGGTGGGTATGGGTTCCTCTACTATTCACACGATGTGTATGGGGACCACTGACACATGGTGAGTATGGGGACCACTGACACACGATGTGTATGGGGACCACTGACACACGGTGAGTATGGGGACCACTGACACACGATGTGTATGGGGACCACTGACACAGGATGAGTATGGGGACCACTGACACAGGATGAGTATGGGGACCACTCCCACCCACACGATGAGTATAGGGTGCATAATAAGTGAACTAAGCCAAACTTTTAACATTTAATTATTACTGTTCTTGTTGTCTCTTATTTTATTCTTATTTAACTTATAATCTACAATTGTAGTCTTTAATTAGTAGTTATATATATATATATATATATATATATATATATATATATATATATATATATATATATATATATATATATATATATATATATATATATAATCATTGTACGTTCCAAATGTATGTGTACATGTCTACCTATTCCTCAGGTATGTGTGAGGCAGAGCCGAGCAGTCAGATGGTGGGTGAGTGTTTGCAAAGCCCAATATATATGACTTGTTTATGTGATCGTGTTGAGTATAGCAGCGTCTTGGGTATTTCTTAACGACGCCAGGTAAGGTGGGGTCTCGGCCCAGACGGTCCAAGCCAACGCTGCCTGTAATTAGACACTAACGAGGATAGAATAACCTATAAGGTATTTATCGGGTAACGGAGGATCGCAAAATGGTTTCAGGCGTAGTATAGATATATATTTGAATTAGAGTTTAGATAGATATAATTTGGAGGTGCTGCGTATAGGCCAATAGGCCTGCTGTAAATTTATTTATTCTGTTGTTATGGTTGCGAAATTAGCTTGGGTTAAAATGTACTTTGGGAACGTTGGCTGCATAGTTAACATGCGTCCTGTCACCACAGGTCTCGCCTCGAGGACAACCTTGAAGAAGAGAACACTGAAAACATGAGAGTTTGTACATCTCGTTTATAGTGAACAATATGAGATACCCAGCTGTGCCCGGGATCGATCTCGAAAGGAAGTATTTTGAAACCTCCCCGAATGCAAGTTCTGTCATAATATTCAAAAGGCATAAATAAAAAGGATAGAAAATAAGAATTCTTTGAGAGTCGTGGGAGTCAATTCCTCTTAAAAGTGGGCGTCACCCTGCAAAATTGAGTGAGGCCTGCCACCTTCCCTCCAACTGACCTGTCACGCGGGTCAGACAGACATTATTTTATACATCTTGATGTAGGCTGGTGGGTAAGTACCCGCCAAACACACACCGAAACTACGACGTTAGTACAACGTTCGAACAAGTTTTAACACCTAACCAGTTATAACAACCAATATAGCCAGTTGTAACAACGTTCTAATACGTCATAAACACTTTAAGCCAAGAAGTAACAACTTTATTACAAGTTGTAACAAGCGGTAAATAGAGACAGTTACGGTTTGTGTTTCCAGGGTAGGGTGCGCGGTGAGGGGTTCTTTGGCACACTCGGATCAAAACAACATATGAATGACAGGGAAAGGTCACTGTCTTGCTTTATTAACGAGTAATACTTAAATAAAAACAAAGGTGCTGATTTTACATTAAACAGTGGTCTAAGTTGTTTAAACAGTGGTCTAAGTCATTTAATCAATGGTCTTAAGGCCTGTGGTTATATGATTTAATAAAATTAGTATATTTAGCTTCATGAAGAATAAATTTTGGTTAATCGGATGTACTTTACAAAAAAGATTTGTTGCTCTTTACCGTTTCTATATAATCTATAATTACCCCTTCAAGTAGACGTCTTTTTGTATTTGAACAGTTATATTTTATATGTACTCTTGGGCAAATTAAATTATCAATAATCCACTATCAAACTTTGGAAAAAAAACTTAGATACCAAAATTCCCCTTCTGGGTGCTGTGGTTATAAAGACGGACGAGTCGAAGCGGGACTTCGAAGAGGGACTTCGAATAGGAAATCGAAGAGGGACTGACGGAAGTCGAAGAGGGTTTCAGCGCCATTGAAATTGAAATAAGTTTATTGAGGTAAAATACACACAAAGGGATGAGGTAGCTCAAGCTATTCTCACCCCGTTCAGTACATCGTGTTCATACATACATAGACACACATCACAAACAATAAACATATTACTAAACATTCTTTGAGATAAACATATATATTCCTCCTTTACTATTGTGTTTCGGAAAAACACACACAGACACACATGAATTTTCATCCCAACAGCAACCAAGTTAAAAAAAAAAAAAACTTAAGTGTTGGTCTTATGGGACCCTAAGTGTTAAGACACTGAAAATGTCCATATTACTAAGTGTTCCATCGATCTCGCTTATTATCGCCGCTGATGCATTGACCGGCTGTAAGATAAAAGCTGAGAGGATATTCTACAAAGGTAATAAAACAAATAAAGTAAATAAAGAAAATAGAGATTGTAAAGTTGCCTTACATACCAGTTATGGACAAAAAAAATGTCTAAAGTCCTCAGCGACACTAATTACAACATTGTTTTTTGGCTTTTAAAACACGATTAGAAAAAAACTTTGCCATAACAAACTCAGTAGTAACGACAATAACGGGAGTAACGGTATTAATCCTGATAAGAATAACGGTGGTGTTAAGGATAATAACAACAGCAGCAGTGGTGGTAGTGAAGGTAATAACGGGGGTTAAAGGTGACAGTGATAACGTTATGGCAATAATAACAATGTAGGTAATGTTGTTTGTAATAAATTACAATTGTTGTAATTTATCGAATGTTGGAAGAGACTGGTTGTGGTTATTGAAGAGCTGATTAACACAAGAAAGCAGTAATTAATTTTGATTGGAATAATGCCATTGCTAACTGTTATTTGTATTTTGATAGCAGGATGGATTTTAATAATACAAGAACTGCTATAATATCAAAGAGAGATACCTACTTGAAGGGAGTTGTTATAGATTGTATAAAACGGTAAAGAGCAACACATATTATAATAAAGTAGACCCGATTAACAGCAAAATTATTCTTAATGAATCTAAATGAAGTAATTGCAATAAGACACACAAGCAGAAACCTTGTGGAGATATATAATACCTGGTCCTCAGTTCTCAGAAACCTGAACACTTCATCTGCTGACATTCTCAATAATACTAACAGTAAACAGTTTAATTAATACTGGATACTATTAAATAATAATCTTATATTAGGAATTAACATTTTTATAGAAACAAATATGTATATATAAATGTTTAATATACCAATTACTGTTGATATTAATTACACAACCTGTTGAAAAGCCGCCCCGATTGATCACAGCACTCAGCTGACAATGTTTGACAGCTGTCTCAACATAATAATGTTCATTATTAACTATATGATAGGTGGGCTGGGGCTAGTGGGAGGGCTGGGGCTGATACGAGGGCTGGGGCTGGCTGGTATAAGGGTTGAGGCTGGTACGAGGGCCATATATATATATATATATATATATATATATATATATATATATATATATATATATATATATATATATATATATATATATATATATGTGTGTGTGAGAAAGCTGCATGAACGCACAAGCCATAGATCACTAAGAACTCTTTGACCCGGCCAGGATTCGAACCCATGCCGTCCAGGATCACCCTGGACGGGGTGATCCAGGGTGATCCTGGCCACCGTGGCCACCGCACAAATGATCGTCTCGCACCACTGACGATCAGTGGTGCGGTGGTCACGTTACTGTGTACGTTTAGGGGTGATCCTGGACGGCATGGGCTCGAATCCTGGCCGGGTCAAAGAGTTCTTAGTGATAAATATATATATATATATATATATATATATATATATATATATATATATATATATATATATATATATATATATATATATATATATATATATAATAAAACATGCAGGGACTAGAACCACCGCCCGCGTGATGCAAAACCGACTGCTGTACCACTGTACCACCACCATACAAGAGAATGGAAGAAACTTTATGAACTCATTCAACCCCCTGCCCGAGTGCATTCGGGTTATGCCCAGCACTCTGCTTTGCGTCACGTGAGCAGAGGGTCTAGTCCCAACAAGGTCATTTGGAACTTTCATGTATTTAAAGTGAGGACTGTGTACTATTCAGGTTTATCATTTGATATTTCATGTTGTGTGGCTTAAACCTGGACTATATGAAATAGTTGACTACATAACCCGAATGCACTCGGGCACGGGGTTGAATGAGTTCATGAAAACTATCCCATTCTTTTGTAGGGTGGTGGTACAGTGGTACAGCACTTGGCTTTGTATCACGCGGTCGGAGGCATGTGAATAGTTCTGCTGACAAGAATTTATATTAATTTAGTGGTCTACAATAGATGGTGCCAACTCTCAGCGGTACTTGTAGCCGAGCCTGAGTCTAACGATTTAGTCCAAATCTAAATTTAAGATTTCTAAAGAATGGTAACATGTAGAAGTCTCCGAACTGGACTTCTTGGAAATAAAACCTCACACGTGTGGGGTCCAGGGTTCGTGACCCATTCAGCCCAGGTGAATGGAACGGACTTCTTGGAGTCCAGGGATGGTGGGGGAACGATATTGGAAGCGGAAGAAAAGATTGATATAATTGACAATTGATATATATATATATATATATATATATATATATATATATATATATATATATATATATATATATACACACACACACTCTTTCGTATTCAGAGATAAATGGCAAGTTTTTCACTGAATGCTCTCTGTTCTCTTCTCTGAAGCTGTGGGTCCCTTTAATTGCACCAGTGGGGGTACCCCCCATATATATATATATATATATATATATATATATATATATATATATATATATATATATATATATATATATATATATATATATATATATATTGTACTATATGTATATTGGAGATTCAAAATAAGATTTTGATTGGGTATTATTTTCTAAGGTAAGGAGTGAAAATCTTATCCGTGTTTATTTGAAAACATAATTTTATTAATATATTGCACGGAATTGTTGACAATAAACGATGACAGACGGCATCGTTTATTGGTATGAAGGCTGGGGCTGGTATGAGGGCTGGGACTGGTATGAGGGCTGGGGCTGGTATGAAGGCTCTGGTTGATATGAGGGCTGGGGCTGGTATGAGGGCTCTGGTAGATATGAGGGCTGGGGCTGGTATGAGGGCTCTGGTTGATATGAGGGCTGGGACTGGTATGAGGGCTGAGGCTTGTATGAAGGCTCTGGTTGATATGAGGGCTGTGGCTGGTATGAGGGCTCTGGTTGATATGAGGGCTGGGGTTTGTATGAGGGCTGAGGCTTGTATGAGGGCTGGGGCTGGTATGAGTTTTGGTATTGGGGCTTGAAGGTGACAGGTGGACCGTACTCATGTGGGTACTGGGCCTCGCCCTTGTAGCTCACCTGGGCCTGGTACCCGTTGTAGTGGTCAGCCACGTAGCTCACCTGGGAACACAAACCGTAAATTAGCAAGTACTTCCACTTTACAAATATTATAGACAAGGCATCTCTTCAGTTTAATTTACCTCAGCTACGGTGTATAAAAAGCGTCCGTTTACCGTCTGGATGCGGCCGTCGGGCAGGACAACATTGTAGGAGCCCTTGACCGCGCTGCCGTCGGAGTCCTCGTTGTGGCCGAAGTCAGTGCCGGCGTAGTCGTCCTTGACACCGTAGGCGTAGTTGTATGGCATGGGCGCCTGGGGGCCAGAGTTGAGTGCATTAGTGTCTCGTTCTAGTAATAATTACAAAGTAATCGCTCCTGCGTGCCTACCTAAATCCTTTGTGGGTTGCAATGTCCTGGAGTTTTCAAGAGGAAATTTGAATAAATTCCTGCAGGTTGTGCCGGAGTAGCAGAGTTATAGTGGCTATGTGAACGTGTGGGGCGCTTCAAGTAACAACCTGACCGATCAAGTTATCACTAGTCAACCTGCCGAGCTTGGAGAGTAAAAAAACCTCTCGAAACCAATTACAGGTAAACTTACCGCTTTATAGGAGGGTTGGGTGTATGGGTCAGAGGGAAGAGCCACGGATACCCCCGCCAGCACCACCACCAACAGCGCCACTTGCTGGACGGGAGAGAAAACATTGAAGGTCACTGACTTTACTACTGAGTATAAATGCTTTGATTGTTTTGCTACAGTTTCTGATTCCATGATGTTTGCAGCCAATCTCTTAACGTCAGTGGACTGTAGAGTTCGAAGGTTGATCTAAATGCAGTTTTAGGCACTATTAATCACTTTGTAAAATCAATCAATACCTTGAACATGTTATGTGAGGGACGAGGGGGCTCCTTCAGTAGTAAGCAGCCGAAGAGTGACTGATGGTGGAGGTGGCCGCCACTGGCTTTATATACTGCCCCCTACACCTGATTGGTTCACCTTCTCTCCTCTCAAGTATGAGGGCTTAAGCCAATTTTAAACTATTTTTTACACTGCAAATTAGCAATATCATTGTATTTCAAGTATATCGCATGGTATTTAGAAATTGGTTTCTACGGTGAAAAGCTGGTGTAGGTGGTGATTAATACCTTGGTGTAGGTGGCGATTAATACCTTGGTGTAGGTGGCGATTAATACCTTATTGTAGGTGACGATTTACGTCTTGGTGTATCTGACGATTTACATTTTTGTGTAGGTGACAATTTACACCTAGGGGGAAAGGTGACGATTTACACCTTGGTGTAGGTGGCGATTTACACTTTGGTGTAGATGGCGATTTACACCTTGGTGTAGTTGATGATTTACACCTTGGTGTAGGTGGCGATTTACACCTTGGTGTAGGTGGCGATTTACACCTTGGTGTAGGTGGCGATTTACACCTTGGTGTAGGTGATGATTTACACCTTGGTGTAGGTGGCGATTTACACCTTGGTGAAGGTAATGATTTACACCTTGGTGAACCTTATCTTGTAAAAGCACCTTAATCACCTTCAGTGATTAAGTGCTTAATTGCACACTAGTTTCTCTATCAGCTATCTCACCCTGTCAGAGTAAAAGAGACAAATGTATGTGAATTCATGTGTGAGATATATATATATATATGTATATGAACGAATATGTGTGTGTGTACGTGTATATGTATGTGTATAAAGTATATATATATGGAAGCTGATCAGAATTACATTTCACCTTTGTAAATGCACATTAATAACACTATGTAAAAGACACATCGAACACTTTATGTAGGGCATACGTAAATCTGTGTATCTATGTATTTACGTAAGTAGGTTAGCTTAGCATTTTAAAAGCACCGAATCACCTTCTGTGGTCGATTGCTCAATAAACCCTTGAACTATATGTTTAACACACCTCTAACCCTGTCCATGGAGGACAGAAGAAAATGTATATATGCTGATTAGCATTGTAAATGTGTAGCCACGTCTGTGGTAGAAAAAAAACACCTTGGTGTAGGTGGCAATTTACACTTTGGTGTCGGGTGATGATTTACACTTTGGTGTAGGTGGCGACTTACACCTTGGTGTAGGTGATGATTTACACCTTGTAGGTGACGATTTACAGCTTTTTGTAGGTGATTATTTACACTGAGGTATAAGTGATGATTTACACTTTGGTGTAGGTGGAGATTTACACTTTGGTGTAGGTGGAGATTTACACCTTGGTATAGGTGATTATTTACACTGAGGTATAAGTGATGATTTACACTTTGGTGTAGGTGGAGATTTACACTGTGGTGTAGGTGGAGATTTACACTTTGGTGTAGGTGGGGATTTACACCTTGTTGTAGGTGGCGATTTACAGTTTGTTGTAGGTGGGGATTTACACCTTGGTGTAGGTGGCGATTTACAGTTTGGTGTAGGTGGGGATTTACAACTTGGTATAGGTGATTGTTTACACTGAGGTGTAAGTGATGATTTACACCTTAGTTTTGGTGGAGATTTACACCTTAGTTTTGGTGGAGATTTACACCTTAGTTTTGGTGGAGATTTACACCTTGGTGTAGGTGACGATTTACAGTTTGTTGTAGGTGGGGATTTACACCTTGTTGTAGGTGGCGATTTACAGTTTGTTGTAGGTGGGGATTTACACCTTGGTGTAGGTGACGATTTACACCTTGGTGTTGGTGGCGATTTACACCTTGGTATAGGTGACGATTTACACCTTGGTGTTGGTGGGGATTTACAACTTGGTGTAGAAGATGATTTACAACTTGGTGTAGAAGATGATTTACACTTTGGTGTAGGTGACGATTTACAGCTTGGTGTAGGTGATTATTTACACCTTGGTGTAGGTGGCGATTTACACCTTGGTGTAGGTGGCGATTTACACCTTGGTGTAGGTGACGATTTATACCTTGGTGTAGGTGGCGATTTACATCATGGTGTAGGTGGCGGTTTACATCTTGGTGTAGGTGGCGATTTACACCTTGATGTAGGTTATGATTTACACCTACCATGAACACCCAAATCACGGAACTATTTACTCTACCCACCATGAGAGTAAGGACAAGACCAGAACATAACGATGCCAACACTGTTCAACATAATAGGCCAATTACACCTGATTAATCTTTGTATGTAGATAGGAGCTGCCTCGTATGGGCCAATAGGCCTTCCGCAGTTTCCTTTATTCTTATGTTCTTGTGTGCTTCATCCCCCCCATATATATATATATATATATATATATATATATATATATATATATATATATATATATATATATATATATATATATATATATATATATATATATATAATATTATAAAACACATTTTAATGGCTAGGCTAAAAACTTATACTATTAGTCGTATTTCAAATCAAAATATACATATTCCAGAAACATATTTTGTAATCCGATGCTTTATTATCGTGGCCACTGAGTTAGGGAGTTTAATTGTGAATATAAGTTGTCGACGCCGAGAATCAAGTGCGAGGGAGTTTGCAGTAGTGTGAGAGGCTGACGGATGAGTGGACATCGCTCTGGATTCGTAATGCTAAGTTGCCGGGTTTGATCTCCGGCGGAAGCGGAAATAAATTGGCAGAGTTTCTTTCACCCCGATGTCCCTGTTCATCTAGCAATAATTAGGTACCTGGGAGTACCTATTTATGCTGCTACGGGCTGCTTCCTGGGGGTGTGTAACTAAAAGGAGCCCTGGTCCATGACCGGGCCGCGGGGACGCTAAGCCCCGAAATCATCTCAAGATACCCTCAAGATAGAGGTGTATGAAGTTAGGCTTGGCTGGGGGCTAGGCTAGGCTAGGCTGGGGAATGGCTAGATTAGGCTGGGGAATGGCTAGATTAGGCTGGGGAATGGCTAGATTAGGCTGAGATTGTTAAATTGGATTAGCAATAATACAACAAAAGCAACGTTGCAACTGAGAGGGACTAATTAAAGAGGAGCTCCAGTATTGTTGGGCCTTCAGTTAACTCGACTTCAATCGGCAGCAGCAATATATCAGTCATAGAGAGTATGTGTGTTACTTGAATCCGATGTTGGATGGACTGAGATCTCCTGCTGGATGAGTTGTTATACAGGTGTGTAGCTTCCCACCAAACACAACACAATCACAACGTTGTAACAACCATGTGCCAGACCGGAGCCGGTCGGCCGAGCGGACAGCACGCTGGGCTTGTGATCCTGTGGTCATGGGTTCGATCCCAGGCGCCGGCGAGAAACAATGGGCAGACTTTCTTTCACCCTATGCCCCTGTTACCTAGCAGTAAAATAGGTACCTGGGTGTTAGTCAGCTGTTACGGGCTGCTTCCTGGGGGTGGAGGCCTGGTCGAGGACCGGGCCGCGGGGACACTAAAAAGCCCCGAAATCATCTCAGGATAACCTCAAGATGACCGTTAAATTAATGTGGAAATAGCGTATTACGTCTCTCTTTGCCTCTCCCCGTCTCTCTGTCTCAATCGATATTAATATGATAATTCAGACTTGGTGTTTGTGATTATAATAATGTTCAGACTTTCGTTATAAGTCCGATACACTAGCCAAGAGCTTTTGGACTTGAAATAGAAGGTATTGATAGTTGCCAACCATGAGGTGGTTGGTCTTTGTCGTGCCGGGTGTCCGTTGGACGTGTATGACACGTCAGGGGCCTGACTGAATGACACGTTGCCGGTGGCATGGCCGTATGACACGCTCGTCCCAAGTTATACAGTAATTGGGAAGTCTACATAGACAATAGTACACATACTGACATTCGTCGGCGTTAGTAAGTCAGTATTTGACTTACATTTTTTGCTAACCAAATGAGAGGATGAATCTTGTATACGGTGAAATAAATACAAATTTTCACATGTTAATTGACATTATCTATTGAGGGTTTATGTATAGCTAGGCTTAGGTGAGGTTTGGTAGTTTGTTTTGGTAATGTTGAGTTTACGGTACAGGCTGGGTGTGAATGTTTACGGTACAGGCTGGGTGTGAATGTTTACGGTACAGGCTGGGTGTGAATGTTTACGGTACAGGCTGGGTGTGAATGTTTACGGTACAGGCTGGGTGTGAATGTTTACGGTACAGGCTGGGTGTGAATGTTTACGGTACAGGCTGGTTGTGAATGTTTACGGTACAGGCTGGGTGTGAATGTTTACGGTACAGGCTGGTTGTGAATGTTTACGGTACAGGCTGGGTGTGAATGTTAACGGTACAGGCTGCTTGTGAATGTTTACGGTACAGGCTGGGTGTGAATGTTTACGGTACAGGCTGGTTGTGAATGTTTACGGTACAGGCTGGTTGTGAATGTTTACGGTACGGGCTGGTTGTGAATGTTTACGGTACAGGCTGGGTGTGAATGTTTACGGTACAGGCTGGGTGTGAATGTTTACGGTACAGGCTGGGTGTGAATGTTTACGGTACAGGCTGGGTGTGAATGTTTACGGTACAGGCTGGGTGTGAATGTTTACGGTACAGGCTGGGTGTGAATGTTTACGGTACAGGCTGGGTGTGAATGTTTACGGTACAGGCTGGGTGTGAATGTTTACGGTACAGGCTGGGTGTGAATGTTTACGGTACAGGCTGGTTGTGAATGTTTACGGTACAGGCTGGGTGTGAATGTTTACGGTACAGGCTGGTTGTGAATGTTTACGGTACAGGCTGGGTGTGAATGTTTACGGTACAGGCTGGGTGTGAATGTTTACGGTACAGGCTGGGTGTGAATGTTTACGGTACAGGCTGGGTGTGAATGTTTACGGTACAGGCTGGGTGTGAATGTTTACGGTACAGGCTGGGTGTGAATGTTTACGGTACAGGCTGGGTGTGAATGTTTACGGTACAGGCTGGTTGTGAATGTTTACGGTACAGGCTGG